CTGCAACATTTCCCATGTGGGATTTTTTTCCTCTTGTTTCTTTTTATAAAATGAAAGTGTTGTGAGGCTCTGATAATGGACTGGTGACTTCCAGAACTGGGCTGGAGTCCCTCCGGAGCTGAGGCACCCGGACATGGCATGCTTGGTATTTGAGAGACTCTAAATGCATGGGCATTGCTCTCTCTCTTTTTTTTTTTAATGCAATGGGTTATTTTTTGGTGTATCACCTGCGCCAGGATACTATGATAAACTGCAACAAAGACTTTATCCATATGAGTGTACTAATTAATCATATTTATAATAAAGTGACATCTAAATAAATTTCCCATAAAGAATAATTATTTGGATGTCTACTCAGCAAACAAAAGCAAGTCTTTGAGAAATTATAGGTTTCTTTCGGAAAATTTACTCTATTATATTGAGGTCGGCAAACCAAGGCCTCCAGCCCACAAGACAGTAACCGTCTATCTCCTGCCAAGCCTAAAATATTTACTCCCTGGCTCTTTACAGAAAACATGTATTGATGCCTACAATTACATAAATGAATGGAATTAAGAAGTATGGTTTTCTCTCTTAAAATTAGGCATACCTATCTGTCAGTATAATCTTACCATGATACTACCTGCCTTAAAATCCATCTGATGCTCTCACTGACTACTGTTTTAATTGGCTTGGGCTGCTATAGTAAAATACCACGGACTGGGAGGCTTAATCAGCAGACAGTTATCTCTCACAGATCTGGAGGCTGGAAGTCCAAGATCAAGGTGTCAGCAGATTTGGTTCTTGGTGAGAGCCCTCCTCCTGGCTTGTAGACAGTTGCCTCCTTGCTGTGTCCTCACGTGACAGAGAGAGAGAAACTCTAGTTTCTTTCTCTCATCTTAATAAGGGCACTAATCCCATCATGAGAGCTCTATCCTCATGACTTTATTTAAACCTAATTACCTTCCAAGGGCCCCATCCCCAAATACCATCACATCAATATGTGAATTTCGGGGGTATACAACATTCAGTCCATAGTACCTCCACAAGAAATTGCTTACCATGGTGTGGCAAGCCCTCTCTTCCTTGATTTTAGCATCACATTCTGACTTCATTCCATGACACTCAATTCTGTCGGCCCTATAGGCCAAACGATCAAGTTCCTACAAGACTGCATGGGAACAGAAATGAGGAGGCAGATCATTTTGCCTGAGGTCCTCAGAGACATGTGGGGGGTGGTGTATCTGCTCTGGGCTTAGAAGGCTAGTGAGCAGAGGGAGGGCCACGTGCTGTAGTCAGGGCAAGCAGCACAAACCACAACCCGGTGGAAGGCGTGAAGCTCTGTGGCTTGCTGTAGGAATCGCAGGCATCCGCGGAACAGGACACTAGGTGTGTGAGGCCAGTCTGGAGTCATGGGTCTGTTCTGTTGTTTACAGCTGTCTTTGGGAAAGTGCTTAGGTTCATATAGGTCAAGATTCTCACCTATGAAATGGGACTGCTGACAACACCTATTTTCTCAGGCTACCAGGATGATGAAATGAGGGGAATGGTGGCTCAGTGCAGTGAGGGCTCAGCCAGCAGCCACCGCTGCCCTTGCCGTGACCTTGCTGTCCCTATGACCCCATACCGTTCCTCGCACACCTGACCCAGCCCCGCCCAAACTTATCACCCTCTGTGCAGTCTGCCTGGTGGCCAGGACTCAACTCACTCACGGTCTTCTTGCTCTTCAGAATCATGATTACAACGCTGTGTCGTGATCGTGGTTTCTCCTAAAGGAATCATACAACCTGAGCCATCTAAAACCACAACCAGCAAGTTGTCTGTTGCCATTTCGGTATGAATGTTAGGCTTGTGGGTTTCAAGAGAGAGTTGGAGCTTGTCACAGAGGCCATCAGTCGAAGATTTATGTTTGGTGGGGGTTTGGTTTATGTGCCCATCACTTTCCAGTTTGGTAACTAGTAGCAGGAATCTAACAGGTTGACCAAACCTAGCGTTTAAGTTTTAACAGCATGAAAATGTATGAAAATACAGTCACTCAAGGGGCTAACATCCCTTAGTAGGTTTTAACGTCAATGGTCCATACAGTTAGGTGTACAAATAGATTTTAAAAGTCAAATGCATTCAATATAGGTCCATCAATATTTAGGACTCTTCTTTAGACTGATAGATACAGGATATTTTAACTCTGGGTTATTTTTTAACAGTTACAGTGAAAATCCCTAGTACCCAAGCTAAGTATTTGTTTTTATTTGTTTCTTTTGCCTGTAAGTGAAAAAAGGAGCCTAAGGAAGGAAAGAGGTAAACCTTAAGTCTTTTTTCTTAGTCACCAGAATAGCAACAGCTGACATCGTTCAATAATTGTGTTTGTGTGTGCACATGTGTGAGTGTGTTAGATGCATGAGTGTGTGCGTGTGCATACATGGCTGTGTGCATGGATGCGTATGTGTGAGTGCATGCACGTGGGTGCATGCAAGAGGATGTGTGCCTGCATGCATGTGCGTGCACGAGTATGCATGTGTGCATGTGTGTGTGTGCATGCGTGACTGTGTGTATGCATGGGTGTGTGTGTGTGCACGCATGAGTGTGTGTGTATGCATGGGTGTGTGTGTGTGCGTGCACAGGGCGGTGGGTCTAAGCGTGACATATGTTGATGCTTGCAGATGAGGAAACACTTAAATACTAGGCCGTGTTGACTCCATGGAAGGTTTGCTGACTCAAGGGCTGGAAAGAAAGTGGAAATCTTGTCCCCATTGATTATGACAAGGCCCAGCATCCCTGATTGCACTCTCGCCTTTGGATGGAGGTCCTGCCGGGTTAGCAGCGGGATCTGATTTTGAGTCATGAGTTGCTCTCCGCAGTCGCCGAGTTCCTTCCGAGCCTGATGGACAGGAGCCAGAAGGCTGTGGAGATGCTGGCGCACGCCACGCTTATCTGTGACAGGCCTGTTTGGCACACGAAGTGGGAATATCTTCATTGTCACCAGCAGCAGCAGCAGCTTCTGCTTTCCTGCGGCACGCCCGTCCCTGCAGTAGGATTGCTTTTGTGGAGCCCCAAACCAAACCTCCTTGCAGGGGCTCGTCCCAGAGGAGGTCAGTCCTGGGAGCGCAGAGAAGAGTCCAGGTACCGTTATTTTAAAGATGCAGGATTGGAGGCTCGGAGAAGGGCTTTGCTCCACAAGAGGCCACACCGCTGTTGGCAGAGCCAGAAATAGAAACAGCACCTCCAGATTTATGTCTAGAGCTCTTTCTACCATAACGTGCTTCCTAATCTTCTGAAGAGACTGGTAAGAAGGTCTCCTATTTTAGCTTCATTTTTAGTTTTGGGGCCATTACCCATGGTACCCGACATGTAATACACCTTCAAAACTAATTGTTTGAATGAAGTACCGAATGAATGGATGGAGTTATATTCCAGTGGTCTAGAGAAAATGTCAAGGGGCTGGGGACTGTCCATGTTGTCCCCCGTCAGAAGAAGCCATTTAGATATTGCACTGAGCCCAGTGCTCTCACATGGTTCTCCAGTAATTCTGGCTACTGTTATCATCATTGTCGAGACTGGGCACGTACTGTTTTTTTCTGTTGCAATGCTTTCTTGCTTCTAGCTAGCTTTACTGTTGCTATTAGAATAAGATTCTACATGAATTTGGTAGGATGATGAAATGGAAAGCAGGCCCTACATTTGTTCCCAATGGAAGCTTCCATGGAAGGGGCAGCATGCCTTCTCAGATAGCCTTATGGAGCACTCCCCAGATTCTTCTACATTGTCACCGATGTGGGCATGATGACATCTGCTGCCCCAAGCCCAGTGCACACCAAAGCCCTGGTGGTGGCCTTGACTTCTCTTTATTGCTGCTGTCATGGGTGAAGGGCTGCCAATCCAGAGCATCTGACTGTGTTTCAGTGCATTTCGATTAGTGAAATCCAACTATCTGTGAGTTGATTTATAACATCCTTACAGTTTTCCAAAGCCTAGATCTGTGTGAGAATAAGATAAATAAGAACAAAACTGAATTTGTGACTTACTCTATAGTTAAACAAAATGCTTGCACACAAATAATCTCATTTACTCGCAGTTCTTGTGGGCTATATTAATCCCATTTTACACTTTAGAGACAGGGCTTCAGATGGACTGTGATGAGCACAGAGTAGACCCGATGATGCCTTTCGTCAGTGTGTCAGGTTTGGGCTTTGCCCTGCTGTGCTGCCACAGTGAGCATGGGTCCTGTGTGCTGGCCCATTGCAGGCCAGGCCTGAGCTGATGGTACCAGGTGATCCTCAGCATCTTCATCCCTGGGCATCCACCATAGAGGGCACCCCAGCACCTGCTGTCATGCACAGTGTATCACGCACTCAGATCTCAGCAGGGTGGGGGTGCGGAATGGAAGCTCCAGGACAGTCAGAGGAAGGGAAGTGTATTAGTGAAATATATTTAGTTTGATTACTTAGTGGATAGAAACGTGGGTTCTCATCCTACCTCGGTCAGTTTACTGGTTGTGTGCAATTTGCTTCCGTGTCTGGGGGAGTTTTCTGCTCTACACAACATGGAGATTGTGTATGATCATTCAGCCAAGTTAGCTCTAAAAACTCATCTTTCTATTAATTCAAGTAATCAGTGGGACCTTTTAAGGTTCTTGCAATCTCAAATTCCGTCTTGTATCACCTCTGAGAAGCCACGCTGTAAGGATGAACATTTTTAGGAAAGCTCGGTGCAGAGGCCAGATGCACGTGGTCACGGGCACGGACTGTGCGGGTTCAGCGGTGGGACCTCCGGCCCGTGCTCTCACCTGTCCGTGCCTGCTTCCTAGTCCCTGAATTGGGGTTCACAATCCCAGGGAGTTGTTAAAAGAATGAAATGAATTGATGAATGCAAATGCTTGTAATTCTAGCACCCAAGTGCTAGCTACATTTTAATGATATGTATTATCCCTCTTATCTTCTTATCCTGTAGGTGGGAGATTCCTCAGCCCAGGGGCTCAGTTGTGATTGGAGTAATACAGTCCTCTCTCTCTCTCTCTTTTTCAGTGATTCCCCTTGTGTATCCTGATTTTGGCCGATGGAATGCAAGAAGCACTGTGTCTGGTGACTTTGGGGAAAGGCTCTGCCACCTGACACCAGGGTGAGGTGACAAGGGGCAGGTTCTGTGGCTCTGGCATCCTCCATCCCTCCCAGATGCTGCCCCGTGAGGATGTAACATGAGAAGCCACGGCAGCTATGACCTTAAAAGGAGACGTTCCGGGCCCCACCAGGACTAAAGAGCAGGAAGGAGGAAAGACCTGGGTTCCAGGCAAGTTTGGTGAGCCCAGAACCAACCCTGCTACCAGCTCTATCCAGTCTGTTTTCCCATGGAATAATCAAGTGTCTTTGTTGGTCAGTTATTTTGTTGTACGCTCTCCAAAGCACTTAAAATACTGTTTCTTTTTATTTCTTTTTTATTTGAAAGGGAGAGCACAAGCAGGGTGGGGGTAGGGGGAGGGTCAGAAGGAGAGGGAGAAGCAGGCTCCCCGCTGAGCAGGGAGCCCGTTGTGGGACTCGATCCCAGGACCCTGAGATCATGACCTGAGCCAAAGGCAGAGGCTTCACTGACTGAGCCACCCGCACGCCCCATAGTACTGTTTCTACATGCAGTAAACTTGTCCTTTAGTCAAGTCAGACGTAGCAAAGAGGAGAGAGGCACTGGGTGCTCAGTGGTGCTGGTGTAGGGGCTCCAAAAAAGCATTGGCATTAGTTCTGTGCTTCCTTGCAGCCAGCTTGGAAGAAGAAAGCAAAACACCTAATTTCACATGGTACACAACACCAGAAAAAAGGAAACAGCCAAAAAAAAAAAAAAAAAGAAGAAGAAGAAGATAGCATGAGGGGAAGAATGAAGGGGGGAAATCGGAGGGGCAGACGAACCATGAGAGACGATGGACTCTGAAAAACAAACTGAGGGTTCTAGAGGGGAGGGGGGTGGGAGGATGGGTTAGCCTGGTGATGGGTATTGAGGAGGGCGCGTTCTGCATGGAGCACTGGGTGTTATGCAGAAACAATGAATCATGGAACACTTCATCTAAAACTAATGATGTAATGTATGGGGATTAACATAAGAATAAAAAAAAAAAAGGAAACAGCCAATCTGAGTAGACAGAATTGTTTAACTGAGTAGGCAATAAATTCGAAAAGCCATTTCTCACATTCAGTATCATAGAGGTGACGCTGAATGGCATAATGGGCTCCTGTCTGGCAATTTTTACCAATTAAGTTTGGTTTTTAAAAAGACTGCTTGTTATAAGCAACCTTCAACTTAAGACAAAGCAAGGACATAATATTAAAGTGAAACCATTGCTGTTTTCTGTGTGTTTTCTTTCTTTTTCTCATTTCTGATTTTTTATGTCCATCTTATTAACTTTATCCTCATTTGACTGTGTCTTTTTGACAAATTTGCTTTAAATCTTTTCAGGATCAGAGAAAAAAAGTGATTTAGTGGCATAAAGACATCCTCAGTAGAGCTGTATGGATTCATGTCAGTAAGTGTAGACAAGAATGTGGTCTAATATCTGGACCAAAGTAAAGTGATTGCGGCCTCGAGCCCGGAGCCCTCACTGTTGACCGTGGGTGTGAGTGCTGGGCTCTGGCAGCACCCACAGGACAGTCAGGGCAGAGGGAGCCATGGAGGCCACTGAACTAGCCTGGGTTGGTTGTCAACATGGATGGATCCACACGTTTTAGGAATCACCTACTGTCCTGAGAGAGGAGTATTGGCAGGAAACTCCAATTGACTATTGATGACCAGTTGCTTGGGCTGTGACTCCCTGGCATATTTATACTTACCCTTTCTTTATCATGCCAGCTTCTAGTTCAGACTGGTGTTTGCTCCTGACGTGGCAACAATCTCCATTCCCTCCCAGATCAGCTTAGAAATGGTCAAGGAGGCATGAGGGGATTTCAGGGTTTGTGACCTCTAGCTCTTCTAGGACATTCTGGACGTCCCAGAATGTCTGAACATTTGCGAAGAGCTTAGGAGACAGGGAGAAGCTCCTATTTATAGAACAGGCCCAGGGCATGGTGTGAGAAGACAAACTGAGGAAAGGGGTCTTTGGTAACGTGGCTTCTGCACTGTGGAGCTTGGGTCAGCGCAGCATGGGAGTCCTGTTAGGTGTTCAGTGAAGGCATTTAGAAAGGAATAAGAGGCTGGATTTTGAGTGAGGAAATGCTTCAGAAAACTCAGCCACATGAAAGAGCTAATGAAGTGGCTATTTGCAGGGCCTGGAGCAGACAGATGGCCAGCAACTGCAAAGGCTGCACACGTTAAAATATACATCGGCCAGAAAGAGGCTGAGGTCTTCTGTGACCAGATCCAGTGCCCACGCACCCTGGGGCTCAGCCCGCAAGTTGATTGCATGAAGGGTCGAAGGCATCACACGTCCAAGCACCGTGCTTGTCTGCAGGAGGTTGGCTTGGCCCAGAATCGCCTTCTGCCTGATGGGAAGGTAGGCAAAACCAGTTCTTGCTGTTATTTCTTCAGTTGCGGTGGATGTAGAGTTTCAGGAGAAAATCTGAATGAGGACAAACTCTGGGAGAGCTGGTGAGAGATCACCTTTGACAGAGTTTGCCTGGAAGCAGTGTGAAGAGGGGTCCCAGGGAAGATGTGTGAATGCTCATCAGACAGTACTTGCCAAAGTTGATGTTGTGTTTCGAAGTTGGAGGGTTTGTGAGCAAATTGCAGGTGTGGCAGAAAAAGAAAGTCTTTGCTGACAGGGTTTGAACCCTGTTACTAGCCGAGTGATCTTGACTGTGACCTCCCACCTCTTCGAACTTCTTTTCCTTTACCTCCTAAGTTGAGAGAGCTACCACAACATGGCTGTGTTGTTGAAAGGATTAGATATGGGTCTTGCATAACACAGTGGTGTCTGCACAGAGTGGGGAGGGAGAGTTGGGTCTTTCTGGTTATGGTTGAATTCAGCTCCTCATTTGGCACAGGAGGAAACAAACCTGTGGAGGTAAGTGCTCTGCCCAAGGTGGCTCAGCTCCCCCAGAGTAGAGCCAGAAATGTGCCCTTCTCTACCCTGCCACTCAGGCCACGGCTTTGGGGTTGGGGTACTGCCCCAGAATAAAAAAATACATATTTGGTCTAGAGCTCCTAAAACTTGCAACTTACTATCTTTTGTATGTTAAGGAGATGAATCCCAGGTGGACGATGGAGAGCTAAGTAGCCTGAGGATAGAGGACTGGTCACCCCCAAACAACCCCAGGATTAAGGATTAGATCTTTCAGTCCCATCCTGGATCTCCACAAGGGTGAGGGTCTGGAGGTTAAGTTCCACCACCAGTGGCCAATGAATTTAATCAAATATGCCTCTATACTGAAGCCTCATAAAAATCCCTGAATGATGGGTTTGGGGAGTTTCTGGGTTGGTGAATACACCTAGATTCTAGGAGGATTATGTGCCCAGAGAGGGCATGGAAGCTCTGCCTTGCGCCCCAGCCCCCACACCTTGCTCTCTGTGTCTTCCATTTGGCTGTTCCAGAGTTGTATTTGTTGTAACAGACTGGTTAACGTAAGTAAAGTGTTTTCCTGAGTTCTGCAACTTGGGAGTGAGATGGAGTCAGGCAAGGCAGGAGTCTTGGGACTGAGATGGAGTCAGGGAAGGAATGGATCAAACCCAATTCCTGTATGAAATGCTCTGCACCCCAGTCCTCATGGGGATGGGCCAGAGTGTCCCCGACACTGACATTGCATCATTTAGAGCTTGTGACAACCCCTTGCCCATGAAGTCGGACAAGTTAATATGAAACATTTTAGTCTTGAAAAAATAAATCTACATTATTTGTCTTAATAACGAAAAAAAATAACAGATAATGTTGACTGAACACTTTCTCGCTGTCAAGCACAGTTCTAAGACTTCCATGAATGAACACGTGCTGGCCTCTGGTGGCTGTGAGGCCAGCACTCTTAGGGTCCCATCTTATAGATGATGGTGCAGAAGCTCAAAGAGATTACATGGTATATCCAAACCACTAGGCCAGCAAAGGGGCAGTTGGCTTTGAGGGGACAGACTGAGTCCTCTGCATCTCTGCTCACCAACAAAGAAAGAACGTGCAAAATGTGGAAAGACAGTTGAGGGACAAAGGCAGCTCTCACCTCTCGGTAAATGACACCTGCCTGGACCAGCTTCTTTTGCCAGGCTAGCAGATGGAATGCAATGTTGAAAAGTACACCATGTAACCCCTGAGGAAAGTGTTGGTGTACCTAGAGTCACCGAAGTAAGCGGTGCAGGGACACTAAATGCCTACTGTTGGTTAAATGCAGTTAAGTGGCAAGGAGCCAGGGACCTAGTGATCTGGTTTCAACATGAATGTACACCGATGCTAAGACAACTGGAAATGCAGCTGATTAGGTATCTGGGAGTTGTGGACCCAGAACTGTGGCGCCATCCTCATGGGAATCTTGTTTCAGGACACGAGGTTGCCAGATTGATGGGACTCGAGTCATGGGTGCCTCTGCTGAGGGGGGAAAGAGGGAGGAAGGAAGGAAGGGAAGGAAGGGAAGGAAGGGAAGGAAGGGAAGGAAGGAACTCTGACAGGTATGATCTGAGAAGACACAGTTAGTTGATGGCTTAAGGTGGATGCCCTGGGCCTACCCGTGAAAGCGGAGCAGAGGGGATCCTCCCTGGAAGGTGGAGTGGGCAGGCGATGGGGTGGACGTGACCACACATTTGGGCAGCCCTTCAGTATTGAAACGGGTAACTCTTGACAGGTTTGGATAAAGTCAGGATTTTGTACGGCTGGAATAAAGAGGGAGGAAGGAAGGTGGTAGAACAAACTAGGAAGGAGCAGAGTCGGGGCGTGAGGTAGGGGAGGATATGGAAGTCGGACTCATTGAAATGCAATGGGAGAGTTGAAGGCAAAGAGAGGGAAAGCATGGACTTTTGGAGGCAGTGGATGGAAGATCCTCTTATATTTAGTTGTATAAAGATTTGAGTTGGGAAGAAGGGAGGGACATGATCCCCATGTCTAAGTGTCTGCACTAGGCTTTCCAAACGAGTGATGGGGGCTGTCTCTCTTTCCGCACTTGAAGAAGATGTCATACCCTTTCCTATATGTCAGTGCGGTGGAGCGGGGCGTGCAGGTGAGAATAAGGCTACTGCAGGCGCTGAAGAAACGTGTAAATAAGAAGAGCAGCCAAAGTCTGAAGGACCCCACATCCACTGAGGAGTTAGTGAAGGTGAAGAGGGGTTATTATTTTGCTTTTGCAACTTCCTGCTCCTAATGATTATGTTACATGCTCTGAAAGACATAAGAAACATAAGTTGGATACATTATACACGTGATATATTTTGTAAATATAAGTTGTTACAAGAAATGTAAGTGGGATGCAGAGGGATTTGAAGAAACAGAGTGGGTCTCCTCCAGCTTTGCCATTAGAGTTACAAAAAAATTCAACCAATCGCGGAGTGGAGGATGAGGATGCATGCTCACGTGAATTAAAGTCAGCAGCTGCCTTTAGTACTTTGGTGTACTAGCTGAAGGTTTTCCCAGTTTCAGGCTACAAAAACTGTACGCCATATGATTTTTACCTTCTGAGTCTTGGTTATTGGGCTCAAAGTTCATTTTGCAAGTAAATAGTATATGTACTGTGTTATTCCTGCTCAGGGCTTAGACCGAGTGAAGTTACAGTTACCACGAATAATCTTCGAAAGAGAACAGAAAAGATCTGTTTGCAATTACTTTATTCAGTTAAGGGGAACTTTCCTTAGCAACTAAATACAAAACATCCCAATTTTATGTAATCTGCAGATTTAACTGCAGTCTACAAAAACTGCAATCAATTTTTAAAAACCCGATCACTGAGTAGATATGCAGAACACAGGCTGTTAATACAGGACATATGGTTTGGCCATGTTGATGTTTGAACTCTTTGTAATTTTGCATTTGAAACCCTATCAGGTATTTTTGAGGCAGAAACAGTATAATTAACTTGCTATGGCTTTTCGTAGTTGCAATTAGAGTGGAATCAGATAAGCATGTCTGTTGGATGACAAAAAAGGGGAGCATTTACATATTAGAGTCTCTTGGTTACAGCCCCAGGAAGACAATTGCAGAGAAATGCACTGATCACCCAATAGGCTTCTTTGGAAATAGTGGCCCCTTTTGGAGGATAAGAACACCAGAAATTATAGCTGAAGCTGTTAGACATCATCAGAGTGACTTTTTTTTTTTTTAAAGACTTTATTTTTTAAGAGTAGTTTTAGGTTTATAGCAAAATTGAGGGGAAGATGAAGATTTCCCATATGCTCCCTGTTCCCCATGTGCATGATCTCTCCAGTACCAACGTCGCCGACCAGAGTGGGATATTTATGACAACTGCTGATCCTGCATTGGCACCTCATAAGCACCCAGAGTCCATAGTTGACATTAGGGTTCATTCTTGGTGTTGTCCATCCTGTGGGTTTGGACAAATGGATAATGACGTGTATCCACCATTGTGGTGTCACGCAGGGTATTTTCACTGCCCGAAAACTCCTCTGTGCTCTGTGCTCTGCCTTCTCATCCCTTCCACTACCTAACCCCTGGTCACCACTGATCGTTACCTCTCTCCACAGTTTGGCCTTTTCTAGAATGTCATGTAGTTGGAATCGTTCAGGATGAAGCCTTTTCAGATTGGCTTCTTGCACTTAGGACCGTGCATTTAGGGTTCCTCCATGTCTTTTCATGGCTTGTAGCTTGTTGCATTTCAGTGCAGAATAATATTGCATTGTCTGGACGGACTCAAGGTGATTTTTTCATTTAATACATGGGGAAATGTGTCCTCAAAGGTTAGATGATTTCCCCAAATATACAGGAAGTTCATGGCAGAGCCTGACTGGGCCAGACCTCGCTCTCTCTAGCCCTTCTTTTCTCCACAATCAAGGGAAAGACTCTCACATTTGTTCTATAACATGGGCTTGCATACCTACAAGTTTTACCCTTTCTTTTCCTCTCAAGAGCTTCACAAGAAGCAAAGAGGTAAAATGACAAATTTGGGTTTCCCCCAGAAAAGCCTGTGTGGCCGGTCTGGGGGTGGGGACAGGCAGGCCCCTTCTCCATGGCTTCTCGGACAGCATGCCTGGAGCTTTCTAGACTCTCAGAGGAAATCTGTGCCTTACTGAGGAGGAGTTGGCTGGTGCAGGCTCACACCCAGGGACATCATCACTCTGAGGCCCCTGGCCCAGGGTGGACCCTGCAGTGAGTGAGCTTGGGGTCTTCCCAAAAGTGGCCGCAATTTCAGAGGCAGAGGCTTGAGACCCTGGGAGGAAAATCGTCTCAGCTCTCCCTGGGTTGGCAGCTACGCTGAGTCCTGGGCACCCGTCGGCCCTGATTACTGCAGCCCCTGCCCGAGGAGGCTCCCAGTCTGGGGCCCTGCCAAGAGGTGAGACTCACCTGATGTGCAGCACGCGCTATGCAGAAATGTGGACTGCATGCCCTGAGGCCCTCCCCAGGTTCCAGTCCTT